ATATATATATATATATATATATATATATATTATCCTGAAAAATTTAAGTTTACTTAAATTACGTACACACTTGTGTTACAAAGTAATTAGATCAAAAATGTATTTACACATTGATGATCTCTCTAATTATATTTATTCTTGTAACGACTTTATTCCACACATTATCTTCTTTTATACGTGCAAGATGCTAATATATTTTTAAAACATCTTTGGAGAAAACGAAACAAGCACGAAAATTAATATAGAAAAATTGAGACTTACATACTATAAGTGATTTAAGTTCGTATTAGATAAACACTTCATTCAAACTTACGAAATAAGTCTCGATCGATATTTTTGCGTACCAACTTCTCCGTTTGTTTTGATCTCTAGAATCGATAGATATCCCACATCGTGAAATGTTCATGTTACGCAAAAATTATTTTTACTACTCCATATTTTTTTCGAGCCGAGGAATTAATTTTCGAGCAGCACAGCTGTTTGCAAATGCAACACGCGCGCATCCTGTACGCGTCACTTCGCATACATACGCGTGTAATTATCCTTCGATACATTTCATACACTTCTTACGCGTGATTGAACACGCTGGAGAAAAATTTCGATACGATTCACCGCTGTCGGAGAATTAGAATTTCGAATCGAGTTGTTGAAATTGTCCATCGTGTTGATGACGATCGCTGATTCGTATTTCCAATTAAAATTCAAATCTCTCGCTCGTTATACATGAAACTAAGTATTTTTTATATCTTTGATAATCTACTCTCGTTATATCGTTACATGTTAATCAATGTCTGTTTAAATTCCAATGGAACTGAATCCGACTAAATTATGGCAAAAATTATGTGGATCCATCTTGAATTCGACGTTTTAAAAGAAACGCTTTTAATTTTTCTATATTTAGCAAAAAGAGAAAGAGGAGAGATAAGCAAATTTTTTCAAATAAAAGATATTAATTTTTTGTTATTCTTCTTTCACGATATTGAAAAAAGTTTTTAGACGAAGTTGAAAGAATACTTGAAATTTGAAGTTTGACACAATTCTTCTCTAATCACAAAATTATCCTATGTGCAATCTGTTATACTCTACATACGTGCAAATTAAAATTAGAATTTTTGGTTTGGATAAAATATTTTCTAAAATATATAATTATAATTTTGTAATTAAAACACATTGAAAGTAAAACATGTAAATTATTTACTATAATAACATTTTAATTGTATAGTATATATATATATATATATAATGGACTAGATATCTACATGTGTGTACACACAGATACATCTACATTTATACACGTACATATATATAGCGTCCATTGCTTGCTCCATTGCTTGCTCTATGCATATTTAATATTATCCTTAATCTAAAATATCGATCATAATTGTGTCGCCTGCAATTATTGCAAATTCAAATTGAATTGGTAATCGTCGAATGAATCGCAAATTAAAAAAAAGTGTTTTATTCGCGATGAAGTGTTGCATCCAATTCCAGAGAAATCGTCGAAATTTTTCGTTGAACAATTATGAAACAGCTTATGCATACGAATTATGTAGCAGCCTCGATTCAAGGAATTCTTATAATCGCGAGACTAATTTTGCAATAAAGCAACCACCTCGGCAAGAAATTCGTGAAATTAATCAGAATGAAAATGGCTCAATGGTCAATTCTTTATTACCTTATGCGTACAATTCTTCTCTTTTCTTGTCTTTGAATAACATGTGTCTGGTCTTTATATAAACATGACACAAAGTAGTATTAAAATTATATATATATATATAGGATGAATCATTTAAAATAAATCATGGCTAATATTAGAAAAAAATATATGTCGAGAAGCACATAATTTGATAAAAATTATGAAAACAGAAATCGTCATATGAAAATTGACTGTTTCTAAATGATATGTTTTTTTTACAATAAAATGTTTCAAACTGTTTATATCAAGTTATGTGTCTGTGTGTTATTTGTGCATAATATAATGAAATTATAATTAGAATCTTTATGTGGAAAGTTAGATTTAAAAATCTGAAATAAAAACTTCGAATTGTTTCTTGATTTTTTGTTATTATAAATTCAATAATAATATTACATTTTATAAATTGGAAAATTGTTTTTATTATTATTAATTCTCGTTAGTTTTAAATTATTATCCGTAAGTTGTTGAAATATACACATATCTCCATTAATTTCTAATCATTAAGAAGATAATCTGGAATAAAAATATAAGCTTAATTGAGATGCCCTTCAATTGTTGCGCAGAATCTGGATGATCGTTGCGCGTCGTGAATTGGAGCAACAGAATTCAGCGTTTAAACGGCTTAAATTCGAGTTGTGAAGTGGCTCGTTTCTGTCTTATTAAATTCGCCCGGGCTTATTAAATTGAAGCAGTAATAAGCGGCATAAAATGATTCGAATCGATTCGAAAATCTTGGCTCACGGTTGCGTCACGGTTCGAGGCAGGTTTCTCGGCAAAATTACCGATTGGGCAAGATCTATCGGTTTCCTGAACGTTATTAACCCGGAATTAATCTGCTGGCTCGCACATTCTCAGCTGCTATAAGCAACAACTGCTTCAATTTGCTTCATGTTCCATGCGAAAAACGAACTTTGTCGTTTGAAGGATTGATTTTTAAGATAATATTGTTTTAATTTCTCGATGATATAAAAATATTTGAAAATTGATTGGTTGTAGGAAATTTCGCATAGCGAAAGATTTTGCGGATATTTTTAATTCCGTTGTTAGAATTTGATTGAATTTAAATGGGATCGAAATTTAATTTATTATTAATCGTGGAAATAATAAAAATTGAATTTTCATTCTATCCATGAAACGATTAAAATATGAAACACGAAAATTTAGATTTTATTTGCGATTTTAATCTTTTAAACATGCAGAATACCTTTTCAGGATCTTTTTATTATACGATTAAATTAAGTAAAAATTTAAACTTGATATTAATAAATATCCAATTGCAAAATTTTATTTCAATATCGAATCGAATCGAATTATCGGTCGGTTGCAAGAGTTTCGACGATATTGTGGCCGCGATTATTGCCAATTTATCGTGAAATAGAATTGAAGTTTATGTCGAAAGATCGTGCTTTCAGGAAATTTATTGAATTTGAATTGTTATAAAAATTGTATTAATAAAGTTGTGTGCTGATTTTTTAAATTAGAAAAATACCTACTTGTTATAAAAGGTATAAATACAAATTAAATTCGATATATTCAATTTATAAATATTATTATTATAAGAAGAAAAAAGTAAATCGATAAAATATGATCTATGAAGCATTCCTTGCGATCTTCGTATGATATACCATGTTGTATATCTAGATTTCAAATAATGACAGATTTATTCACATATCTGTAACAATATTTAAGAAAATTTCTTTTATAACAAATGGATATCGATTAATTGTTATATCTTCTTATTTTTTTATCTGTAAATTTTACCTGTAAATATAAATAATTAATAAAAATTATAAATAAAACACATACCTGTATAAATGATCGAATAATTTAATCGAATAGACGCTGGTTAATTTTTGTTTCAAAAATAAATAGTGATATATGTTAAATTTTCTCAAAATAATGAAAAATCCAAATTCCTGAATCTTTCTCGTTTATTCAGACGATATTTCAGAACAATTTACGAAGAATAATTCGTTTTATTGACCACGTAAAAATCCTTCCAAAGGCTATAAAAAAATGTTGGACACGTTTCAAACAACGTAAAAAACATCAAGAGAAAGTGTTAAAATCGTTAAGAGAAAAATTTTTGCACGATGCCAAATATCGAATATTTCCCCGCCTCTGATCGTCGCTCTCGATAGAAAAAAGTTGTCAGACGCAATCTAATATTTCGTTACAGATACGCGGATCGTGCGTACAGACATCATCCACGAGGATTGATCATATACGGGCCTGTAACAGTGTCGAGCATTCTAGGTGGCAACAATGCCACCCTGCTTTGGGGCAGCAAGGACAATTCCAACTTCTCCAAGCTGGACGCTGACGACTCCATTCGAAACACGTACTTCGTTGGAAGTTCCCAGGAATCTTTGACCGCAAATTCGACAAACAATACCGTGATACCGCGATGCCCGCTTGTCTCGCCGCATCTCAGTAAGTTGTATAAGCATCGATTAACTTTCTCCCAATTATCGCGTCAAATGTGACAGCTAAAATACAATTTTTAAGAAATTTAAAATGGCGGAGAATTGATTCGAGGGTTTAAAAATATTGAGAGAATTTTGTAAGAGGGGGGATAAAGATTGCTCTCTCGATGAGTGGAATATGTATTTTTCGAGGGTAAAAGTTATAAACTATCGAAGAAATATTGTTTGTGAGAATTGTGTTCGACAGAAATAAGTGTCTACGTCATTGTTGTCTCTTTTCATACTTATTCTCGAAATAATTCTTCGAATTGCAAACTGAATATTGTTATATTGCTAGATATCCATTCACTGTAAATGGATTCTCTAGAGCAACGCACAGATAGTTTTACTCTAATGTGGACTTATATTTTTAGAAGTAACTCTTGGATTCTGTGGATTCTTCGAATATATATCAGTATCTTGTACTTTTTGAAAATGTGAAAATTTCAAAAATTTTTTAACCATAAGAAGAATAATTATTACTTTTTTGAATTGCATGCTTGGAATTGCTTGTAATTTTATATCACCGTTGAAGGAAAAATATACATGGATCCGCTATTGACTCCTTCACTCTGTTTTCATTCTGTACAGTCGTAATTCATTTGAATAAAAAGAAGATAATAGGCGAATCAATGCCACGGCAAACGCTTCTTTGTTCGTTTTCCTGAACGGCGGAAAATACGCATTAAAAGTTTTAAAGAGATTTTGTATAAATGTCAGCTTTTATATTCACGTTCTTTGTCTCTTTATAAACAATTTTTAAACGGTGTGTTCGCAGTTTAAGCGAATCGTTCGCTACTTGAATTCGAGCAATTTCAATTTTCAACCACTTATTTTATTTGAATTGAAATCCTTTCAATTGAAAGTGGGGTTTTTAAATTCGACAAAAGCTGTGACATTTTGAGAAACAATATAATACGTTAACAAGAAAATTCTAAATTTTTTAGAAATTTATAAAAGATGTTTCATGTTTTGTAAAAAAAAATTGATCTAAATTTAACGAATGAATAATAACACTTTTCATTTCAAGAAAATATAAATTAAATTTTCACCTTTAATTGCTTGTAATTCCAATTTCTATTTTGTAATAAATCTGCATAAATAATAATCATTCGAATGATCAAAAATTATTATATTTCGCACAAGATTTTTGATTATAATTGTTATAATTATTTTCAGTAATATATCAGATGCAAAAATACAATAATTTCTTCTTAAGAATTAAAATTACAAACTTACGTGCTCATTGTAATAATATATATATTATTTACAGATTATACGTCATCTTTTTTCTATAACTCTTTTAAATTTGATAATAATATAATACCAAGAAAATTCTAAATTTTTAGAAATTTTTAAAAGATGTTTCGTGTTTTAATATCATCAAATGATCAAGAATTACAAATTTACGTGCTCATTGTAATTACATATATTATTTACGTCACATTATACGTCATCTTTTTTCTATAACTTCTTTTAAATTTGATAATTATCCAATAATGAATAGCGGCATTGCCAACTGGGTCGCGAGATTAAAAGCTTGACCCGATGGATTATTTGCAGTTGGCCCACTGACTGTTAGCAAATCACCGCCCGAGTTGGAGGTGATGGAGAAGACGTTCACCGAGGTGAAGCCCGGCGGCAAAGGTTGTCCAGCAAATTGCACGGCCAGGCATCGAGTGGCCATCATCATTCCGTTTCGCGATCGACCGAAGCATCTCCAAACTTTGCTCTACAATCTTCATCCGATGCTGCTCCGCCAACAGATCGACTATCAAATATTCGTGATCGAGCAGAAAGGTGAGAATTCTCTTTCGAGAATTTTTTCCATTATTATCGATGTAATGTGATTTTATTTAGATAGATAATTATTTATTATTTATCGAAATAGGAAGAAATTTAGATCGTGTAGAATCGATGATTTTGGATATTGCCTTTAAGTAATTTTTTCGTCATTTGATTCAAAATTTAAATTTGTTACGCTATTTAAAATATTTTTTATTCTTGTTTATATTCGTGCGTGTGTGTAAGAATTATTGGTATAAATTATTTTATTCAAATTTATTTTTTTCACATTCTTAGACTGATTGCATAAAAGAAGTGGTTAAAGTGGTATGTTTATTTATCTGCTTTATCAAAATGTACTTTATCTTATGAGTAATTCAAATTTCTGGAAATTTAATACTGTTAAATTTCTAATTGAAAGAGGAAACAATTATGAGAAAGGTATTTAGCAAGTTTTTAAAATATTAAAATTGCGTATTAGAACGTTTATTATGTGGAAGTTAAATAGAGATTCATCTTGTCTTTTTAAATACCATAAATTGAATACCATTTGAATACCATTTTTCGTTCATTTAAATTTTGCATTGATGAGGCGAAACGAAGATAGACTCATTTCTATCTCTCCATTCATATGTATTATTTCATATTACTTTGTTAATAAGTTATTTCTAATTTCTAAAGCCTCAATTTTTGTATTTATCTTAATTTAAACAAAAAATAGAAAAGATTTTTCAAACGTCAAAATGCTATCCTTTGAATTTTATCTTGTTTTTCAAAAATTAATCATTATCGTTATAGGAAAATAAATCGACCATTGTAGAACAAATAACGCAACATCAAGATGGCCGAAACGATTATTTGCCGACCCAGTAATACTCGTGGTTGTATGCCACTAAAATTACCGCCAAAATTAATTAAGTTGAAATAAATTTATTTTCAACCTGGCCACTCTCCAGGTGCTATATGCTTCGACTATAATCAATTTTGTTCCGTGCAGTATAGTCTGTGAATGAAGAGTATTTGAAAAATCATCGTCGAAATGAAATCCAAATTCATCGATTAACCTATCATTTCGATTAAAATAAAAGTATTATTACAGTATTTCAGATTGACAGAAATTACAAATGAGAACAAATTAATATATCCTTTTTTTTTTTTAATATATCAACACATGACGTATAAATACTTCTATTAATTACGACAAAACATCGAGGAATATCCAATTCATAGGATAATATCAGAATTGTTGTACATCTGGTGAATGTGTATTTTAAAAAAAAATGTCAGGAATTACATGGATGAAAAAAAATATTCCTATGAGAAATAAAATTACCATACGAAACGTATATTTCCTTTCCAGATATTTGGGCAATTTTTTTCCGGTTATCTCACAGACACGATTTCAGTTACCAGCTTTAAATGAAACGTCGGGCCTTAACGGATTAATTCGTCGACGTGGCGATATTCGGCAACGATACAACGCGATAAGCTGCATTTCGTATTTCACGATTAATGGCAGCAACCGATCTCTCGATCTCGCTTCGAAAAAACCGTTGCTGGACATCACTGGATCTTCGAATAACGGTGGTAAAGTTTTAGATACAACCGTTGATCGCGAGATAAACGTCGCTGGTATAGTGATACTTACAAAGTTAAAATTAAAATTTATTTCTCGCATAAACTCTGAATCTCAGTTCTTTTAGAAGAATTATTTTTTAAAAGGATTGTTGGTCAAACTTATTCAATTTATTGTAATTAACGAGCATCTCGTTAGACATCCGTGTAATCACACGCGATACTCTTTCATGAGAAAGCGAATGTATTAACAATCGTGTGGATGCGTCAATTTAAGATAAAAATATAAAAATTGATATGCGAAAGAAAGATTGATATACTTATTCTCGCCGATGTTATTGAACTCCTTTACTCCAAGTTTTTTACTCTCGTCTTCGTTAATCCATAGTGTTACGTCTATTCTCGCGATAAATAAATTTGTTCTTTGGAATAGTTGAAAACAATAGCCCTAGTTTTACGTAAGCGAGACCAGTTTTACGTAAAGCCTAATCGCAAAGAGACGATAGAGAGAGAAGCTGTTGGTGCCACGTGCCGCATTGCGGCATATCAATGGCACAATATTCGAGAGACGTCTCAATTTGCCACGACAAAATGAATACATGTATGCATATTTCGCTCGTTATCGGTGCTGCACATGACTTGCTTTGTTGCTCTCGCTTCAATTTTAATGCCTTAAATATATTCCTTTGTAACTCGAGTTCTCCTATTCCCTTCCTATTCCTCTTTACGACCGAGTTATTATCGGAACGAGGAAATTAATTCGCTGGTGTTTCTGTGATTCGCTTGGATCATCGTGACGTGAAAGAGATTAACGCGCGCGTAGCTGAAATTCCTCGTCGCGAAACCTCAACGGAATGACGTGGCATTGTGAACGTGATCTGCTGCAGAGTGTTGATATATATTCGGAAGAAACTGTAAAAATATCGGTTGAGGCTTGTTCATTGAGTCGCAAGTGGTTTAAATTAATGTTATGCGAACAGAGATAGAGAAGAAGTGAGGGTAATTCTGTTTTTGTCACACTGTTCTTAGTTCATCATCTGAAAATGAAATTGTTTGTTGATTTAATAAATAAACTGAACCGATGTTTCTTTGCATCATCTTTTGTGATGAAAATTGCTCTTTTTCTTATAAATTAATTTTCCAAAGATTTTCCATGAATACATATTATACATCTTGTGTAAAGAGAAATTTGGGTATTTATATTTTTATTAATAGAGAATGAAAGAATGGAAAAGAATCTGTTCTGTAATTTTTGAGATTTGAAAATTTTGAATTGTTTTATATTATAAATTTTAGAGGCTATAAAATAAACGCAAAAGTATATATAAATGTGTGTTAAGATTCGTTTATTGAAAATTTATTTATAAATTTTGAACTGAAATTTGTGTTTGAAGAAGCACAAGAGATAGAATCTAATTCAAACTTAAATTGCCTATTATATCTTATTAAATAAGCCTCAAGCAATATTATTTTCTATTTGCTTTAATCTCTAAAATGTACCCTTTGAAAATCAATACATTCACAAATATATTCACAACATAATTTTTAACGCTTTGTCACTTTGTTATAAAAAATAATCCCAGATGAAATTATATTCAAAAAAATAAACTCTGAGGATTAATTTCACTTTCTCAAAGAGATTTTCTGCTTCGTGTATGCGCATAATCCATTATACTTTGTTTCCAAATTTTTTATTGAAATAGTAGATACTTTTCCTGGAACAGAACTTTTGTTAAAGCGAATTTCCTTATAAAGCAATGCATTGATTTTATAATGATTCACAATATATATTAGTTACTTGTCCAATGAATATTAGTTCTCTTTTCTAACTTATTATCTCTATAAATTTCTAATCTATTTCCAACTCTCAAAAGACCACAATAAAGCTACTTTTTTTAGGAAATCTTTGTTTTTAATTAACAACTTCTTACATTTATTTATCTTAGTATATTTAGTAATTACATATAATTATACATTATATTTTATACAGAATCAGAATAATTCTCTTTTCACTCAAAGGCCGTTGATAATTTCCATGATAATAAAATTTGTGATTATTTTTTTTAATTTTTATTCCACTAGAAGAGATGCAAGGATATTATAAAAAAGGCTGACAATTCATAAATGGGTGGATAACACTTCTATAGAGCGACATAAAATTATTATTTTTCAGTTGAGAAATAATTATTTTTTTTTTTTTTTTTTTTTACCTGTTAATGCATCATTGTATCCATAGAATCGAATCACATTAATAATCTTCTTTGTCGATTCGAAGAACGCGAGCATCCAAGCGAATCGAATCGAGTTTATTGATTAGTGGTCTTCCATTAAACAATCCAATCGTCTCGAGGACGCGAACTTCGTTTTGCGAGTCTGTCTAGTCGATAAAACTTGAAGGTTGAAGCACGAAGAATTTTCTTTATGATAATAAAAAGATTTCATTTACATCATTTATAACCATAGATCAGCTGTTGTCACAGAATGAATGAATTTTAATATGAATTTTAATGAGTTTTATCATCTTTAAGTTTTCAATATATTGAGAATGTACGACGAATTATTGGAAGTAAAATTGAAGAGATAGAAGAAGAAATAATTTGAACAATGTGACAAGATATCCTAAAAATCAATCGACAAAGCTTAACTTGGTGACTTCACATAACTTTTTCTTTCGTTTCGGCTTTGTTAACGAGTTATTAATAAAAAAAACTGATTAATCGACACATATTTGTTCGTTTAATTCGAGAGTAGTTCATACCCAACACTACCGACACTAGCGACAAATCTACACGCTCTATGATTGGCACAAGATGAAAATTTTTGCAAAGGAAAAAGTTATTCGAAGTCAGGAATTAAACCTTATGAAGTTTTGAAATATCCTGTATATTTATTCAATGAGATTTGGATATCCATTTAATTTAGACTCGAATAATTTGGTTAATCAAGATTTCGTTGCAATTATTGGCGAAATTAACGATTAACGAAATGAATTGTTAATCAGCAATTACGATAAGCAATTAAGATAAATATTTATCGCGATTTACAAGTAATAATTAAAGCAGGATTTAATTAATCGCAATTGACGTTTTAAATAACATTTCATTGAAAGTAAAAACAAATTAATAAATAAAGTCTCCAATAGTAGAAAATAGAACGAAATTTTAAATCGCAAATATTGAGAATTTAATACTCTATTTAATACTCAATTTATTATAAAAACGTAAGAAAAATGTTTAAACTTTGATTTCACCTATTCAAAGAGATTTGTTTCGTACGTGTAATCTAATATGCATTTTGCTTGCATACAAACTTTCAAATTAAAATCATAACTTCCTTACAAAATAATATTCAAAATATTTTCGTGAAAAACTGCATTTGAAATATAATGATTGGTTTCATTTCGTACGATTTCGATGTGATAAATAGTGCGAGGATTATCGACAACAAGGCGTCTCGCTCTTGAGAATAGCTCCTCTTTAACCACGACCCTACATTTTTTCCCATTTGACGCGATCTCGTGCGTTACGTTGTTCTCCGATTGACCCAGATGCATCGATATATCGCACGTGTATATGCTCGACATGGAAACTATCTATACTTATACCAATTTAGATGTGAACATCTTCATCTAGTAGGACATTTGCATATAAGATGTATCCATTGAATTTATTTTTGTGGAATTAGCGAAGAAAAGTATAAATAATAAAAGAGGAGGCTTTGCAAAAAATTGTTTGCACGATATGATGTGCTAATTTAAATCTTTTTGAACTTTTATTAGTTGATCAGAGATGATAAAATAAAATAAAAATTACATTGCATTAAAAAGTGTAAAAAGTTAGGAATGCAAATAGTATAAAAAATTGAAAATAAATATTGAAAATAAAATAATAATTTGTTATTATATTTTGATTAATATTGATCTCTTTTATTTTTCAATAATTTATAGAGGAAAAAATCTACACTCAGATTATTCAAATAAATAAATTTTCAAATCGTCATTAAATGGATAATATCTTTTTTTAAAAAATAAATACATAAAAAATTATAACAATAATCCAATTAATGGAAATGTTTAGAATTTTTAACTCTATTTTTTTCAATATATTATTGTTATGTTTGAATCATTAATTGTATTCAAAAAATGTTGTTATTCCAATATATCATTTTGAAAATAAAGAAATATATTCGTATTACGAATAAAATTAAAATTTTAATAATTTAATGGACTATTAAAGTTTACAACAGTTTTTCTGATAACACAACTGCAAATTATTTCTTTCTCACCATTCTTACTTTCTATAAATCCATTACTTCTGCTATATTCACCATTACCAAAACTATCGTTATAATAAATTTTCCTTCCTTTTTTATTCCAGATAACAATTATTAGCTTCATTTAATTTTGTCCAGCTTACAAAATATTAAACCATTAGTTGATAATATAATTTGTAATATCTAAACAGCTAAATATCATATAAATATCTGATATACAAAAAAAATGTCAAAAAACAAAATTTTAAGAAAACATTCACAATTAAAAAGGATTTACTAAAATAAGATCCATAGACTTCTTTTATTATTAGAAAAATCCTCAATTCCAAACGAAACTACTTCCAAACACCCTTGAAAATCATGACTTACGGATTAAAACTCTTAAAACTTGGATAAAAGATGTCGAGGGAGGTATCGATAAAGGAATATACATACAAAAGATTGAATATGTATGTAACAATGATTTTGCTTGCCTGCGTGCGTCTGCAAATTGTTGAAAGAATAGTGAAACGAGTGTAGGGTTGACTGAAGATAGAGCTTACGGCCTACTTTTTCTGCCAGTTTCTCGAGTCTCCTCGAGGCCCCCTGTAAAGAGATAAGATGTGAAACTTTTGATCGAGGTAAGCTTAGTTTTCAACCGTGTCCTCTATTCTGAGACACGCAAGAAGCAAACACGAATACAGTGAGAAAAAAAAATTCATGATATTCGTCTGAGATCGTTCAAAATTCTCTACTTTACCTTTACCAACGGTCGATCGAGTGACTCTGTTTGTTTTCCAGGTAGCGACGCTTTCAATCGCGCGATGCTCATGAACGTTGGATACGTGGAAGCCTTGAAGGAACGACCTTTCGACTGTTTCATTTTTCACGATGTCGACCTACTTCCTGAAAACGATAGAAATCTGTACACGTGTCCGGAGCAACCGAGACACATGTCTGTCGCAGTGGATAAATTCAATTATAGGTGGGATATTAAATCAATAATTGATTCAATTAATTGTAATTAAGATCAGTTTTAAAACTTTCATAATTTTGGACTGTATAATTATTGTTGCTTCATTACTTCATTTTTTTAAGAGAAATATATTTAAATTTATTTTTTCTTCTTGTCAATCAAATATCAAATAAATTACATATATTCATCAGTATTGAATATCAATGAAAAATTTATTAAAAAAGAAGATTTTATATTAGAAGACGCATTAAATGCATCAAAATTCATAAAAATTTTTTAATTGAATTCTAGATATAAATATAAAATTACCTTCACTTATTAAATTTATAATTTAAAAAGTTTTTATTTAAAATAATATATATTATAATATACATTTTTTTAATTCTTTCACCATTTATGAAAAATTATATCAAATATATAACTAATCTATATAAATAATCATATTTAATATATAAAAAATAAAGTACTCATCATAATTCTAATAACTGTGATAAGTTTCAATAGTTAGCAAAATGTTGAAACAACATTCCTATTAAACGCAGCTTTTATTTATATAAATTCTTAGTAATAGCATAATTGCAAATTCAATTTCTCATTTGAAAATGGCTACGAATACATACCATCATTATTGTTCTATATAGGTTACCATATGCCGATTTATTTGGCGGCGTATCAGCAGTGTCACGCGAACAGTTTCGACTGGTGAACGGGTTCAGCAATGTATTCTGGGGTTGGGGTGGCGAGGACGACGACATGGCGAACCGAATCAAAGCGCACGGTCTTCATATCTCTCGATATCCAGCGAATGTGGCACGGTATAAAATGCTTACGCACAAGAAGGAAAGGGCTAATCCAAAGAGGTGAATTATTCAGTCATTTTGTATTTCCTAGACTTTTGTTTTAAGGGACACAATATTTTTTAACTTTATTTTTAGGTGTTTTTAATTAGAGCATTTGATGAATATAGTCTGAAAATAATAAGCTTAATTTCAGAATTACAAGATCAAGAGTTATGTGAATCAAGAGTCGTATTGAAATGAGCAAAGTAAATGTCACTGATATTGATTTCACCGATCAAAATTCATCGATAATAATTTTAATGGATAGTATTTATTAATATTTATTAATAAAAATGTTGATTGAATATTATCAATTAATATTGCCTGTATTTTATGTCTATAATGAGATTCGACATTGGTATGATTATTGCCATTAATGCCATTAATTATTGCCAAAATCTATTTCAATTTTTGCTTACCATTTTTTTCAATATTATTTTTCATAATGTTGTTAATTACAAAGCTAATACATATACATGTGATTACAAAATGAATTTAAGAGATAGAATGAAGTAAATTAGAAAACAAATCCCTGGATATTATAATTCCAAGTTAATCTCAAAATCTAATATACAATTAAAACACAATTAAATAGATACTATATTGATCAATGACGATCAAAGTAATTCTCAAAATATATTTTTAATATTAATACACTACTAATATGACGTATTCTTGAAATTGAAAATATTATTTTCAAATTTAATTCATCATAATACAATAAATGAATATATAAGAATAAATAAGAAACTTTCTATCCCTTAAAATGAAATTTAATCATTTCTTGTGTTATATGCACACATAATTTTTTATTTTAAAATTTTTCAATTTCCACAGATACGAGTATCTAAAAACAGGTAAAAAAAGATTCGCCACGGATGGCCTGAGCAATCTTCAATACGAGCTGGTCGATAAACAAAAGCCAAAATTGTATACGTGGCTCTTGGTGAAGTTGACACCTCCGCAACCTAGCTGATGGCTGTCTTGGATAGGATAACGAACTGAAGAAATCGAAATAGCTTAAAAAAACATAACCTTTCGATTCTTAACGCGAAATCTTATCGTGATGATGTAAAATGAAGGTTTACACTATACAAACGCATTCGCACTCGTTGCGGAGAATTTCTCAAAGAAAGGAAGAGAAAAAAAGTAACATGCAAAAGAGGAAACAACATTTTTCCTTCGAGTTCCAAGAACTTGTGAAAATGTCGAAAGAAGACAGCGTTCCAGTAGGATACTGACGAGTTTGTTTCTCTCGTGATTTCGTCGATGACGAACGAGAGAGACGTTGTTACGTGATATATTTTTATTCCTTGTATTTTTTTATCGCAATGATAGGCTAAAAATCATGTAAAACGTAGCATATGAGCTAACGTGCCAAAGGAGAGTGATATGCGCGTGCGTGTATGCATGTATAGCGTGTGTATATGTGTATATGCGTGTATGTATGTATGTGTGTGTGTGTGTGTGCTGTGCGTGATAAGAGACAAGAAAAAAGAAAGCAAACATGTAAAGAGAAATGGCAGAAAAAACTTCGCCAATCCTTTCTGTATTCTGCTATCATAGTTAGTACATTTGTATATCTATATGTACACACCTATGTACATACGTACGAACTGAACTATAGCAGCTCGAGGCTTCCTCGGTCGTGTTACAACGTGAAACAGTGGCAGTCCGAGTTTCCGGTTGAACGCCGCATATCTAGGACAACTTTGTAACTGACGTTTCAGCCCACAATCGTAGTTGGCTTCCTTCGAGTACTGTAGTAGTGTTTGCGCTATTTTTCCTATTGAACAGAAATATAATAAATTGTATTTGTTTTTCGTTTTCGACATCCCGACGCGGCATCGTTTTGTAATTGTGATTTGCGAAAAGATAATTGGGTTGGTGAAAAAGTAGTGTTAGTTTTGTGAGTACAAGAATAAATCAATTTATTATAATTTTATTATTAATTACGTATCCATAGTTTTTAAATCATTGAAATTTTATATAAATATTATAAAACTGTTATATGGTTTATTAACAAGTGTTATTTTTTATTTCTATTTTTATTTTTTTCTCTTTTGTATACTTTCCAAAATATTTATAGAAAATTTATGTATATCGATCATTTTATCATTTACTAAATGGTATTATTTTGTAATTTGAAATTCGGTTAAATTTGATATTGATATGTATTTATATTTAACTCTGAATTTGTTTTAAGAAAATATTTTTCTCAAAAATTTTTTTTAAATTTGTATTATTTGAACAATTAAAAATAAAAATTATCTTATTTTACGTCTTAATTACTACAATTGCATTAATCTGTATTTATTTTTATGCTCGAATTAAAGTAGAGAATATGATATAATACAATAAATAATGTGTCATTTATTAAAAATTAAAAATTAATATAACTTTTTCAATTTCATTGATGTTTCAAAAATATTTAATTTATGTTTAACATTCTATCCTTATAAATTAACTTATCATAAACAATAATACTATGAGTTATTTAAAATTGCTTATTTTAATATCAAAAACATAACTTTCCCACCAATCTAATATGAAAACGTATCAAAAGAAACATTTTGCTCACTTTGCAATTGTTGTAAAATTGAATTTCAAGTGACCAAATATTCAATTTATTCGATATAATCGATCTGGAAGCTCGTGCTTTCACTTTTACAGATCTGATACGGTAGTTCAAGTACCACTTAACCATTATTGTTATCAATAAATATTCGATATCACATAAAAAATCTGTTCGTAAAAAAAAACCATGGAATCACATTTTAAACTCGTAACAAATATTTGCGTCTTACAACGAAATGATAAAAATAAAAAATTCTACTTGATAACACATGTTTTAATCGTTCAAAATAAAAAGAAATCACACGAACAATACTGCCCTCTTTAGTTAAAATCTTTTATCTAATATTTTGAGAAGTTTAAAGAAATTTTTATCAATTTATTTTTTTTCTTTTTTTTATGATTAATGCAATAAAAAATATATTTTTACAAATTTTATATTTTCTATATTTACATAATAGATAAAAAATAATAGACTTTTGAAACTTCATACATTTTAACATATCTTGAAAAAAAAAATTACCAGATAAACTATCTTAACTATAGAGAGCAGGATAATTTCGAGCAAGAACCAAAGGAAGCTTATTTTTGTAAGATTCATATGGACGTACAAGAGATTAATTATTAGGTTACGCTGATTAATTGTGTCGCGAAAGCTTTATTTCTGTAATAGGGGCTTGCGTAATCACGTAGACGGACGTGCAACGGAAACGGTACTTAAGCGTGTAACGTGAATTAATGTTGGAACCCTGCGTATTCGAGAGCACTTGTCGTTAGCACTTTATATAGGTTTCTTTGAAATATCTTGAAACCTAACACACGTTTACACTTCATGCACATGTATACATATACACATGTGTGCATGCGTACACACATGTACACATACACAGTACGATGATCGAACCGATTCGCGCGGGCTCGAACTTGAGAATATAGGATCATGCAAAATTGATCAACAAAAACGGCACAAAAAAAAATGTGATTTATAAATTTTTCAAACTGTTATGATCTCGTTTTTCAAATTTCAATATAAAAATAATTACCAAGTTATAGAAATCGTAAAAGAAAAAAGAAGAAATGAAAGAGAAAGAAAAAGAAACATGTAAAATGTGTTGCATCCTGCTCAAAAATTATAATAGAAATAAATAAAAAAAAAGTGAAAGAGTGATATTTATCTTTTTTTGTATTTGTTAAAAGCAACATTACCAAAAATTTTGAATGACTAATATGTTCCATAAAAAATTCAAATATCTAAGAAATAAATAGGTTAGAAAATTCTTTCATTAAAAATAGATTAAAATAAATCAAATTATTCATATCTGTTATTCTAATTTCTAACTAATAGCAAAATTAGAGGAAAATAGAATATGAAAAAAGAAATGACTTCATGTGATTTTAAGTAATTTCAAATTTTTGATCGTTGATATATATTTGACAGTTTCGATCAGGATGCAAATCATTATATAGTATTTTAGTCGAATGAAGACACATAAACATATCATACGTAACATAAAATACGTGGTTGGATCGCGTTATGTCATGTATTTGATCATTTAGATTCGATTGTTTAAAAGATTAAGAAATAAGAGTACAGGCTGTGAATAATGCACTTTCCTTATGGAATCAGAAATCTCACGAAACCAAATACGAGGATGAGCACGATAGAATGACGTTAACATATTTAAACATATTTTTTGCGTGCTATCACGTTGATAGAATAAAACATTGGATATTAGAAAAGCAAGTTTCGAAAATTAATATATACACGCACGCACGCACGTACACACACACACACACACACACGGTCCTTTATACACTCTGTAAGTATATCCTTTACTCGTTGCTTCTACTGATCGAGTTTCAAACGGTGTTACACTAGAAGTGATCGACATTGCTCGTTTTCATGGTTATCAAGTATCGAACGCTATTCCCTCTATCGTGTTCTTATTACAGTGACTGAGCATTTATATTCAGACATCATAATATGCAAGAAATTATTGCTCTATATATATGTTTCTAATAGTGTTATTAAATCGATTGTTTTTATAATATAAGAACGTTTTTCAAAGTTAATAGAAATAACAATTTTAATTTAATTTCGCATAGACAACTATATTTTTTTTTTAACTTTATAAATCTTTTAATCGAGCTTGTTTTTTTCTAGATCGAAAAAATTTGAAATATTTATTAAACTTTCTAATTTAGTGTACAAATAATCATTAAATTTTCCCTCTATTCTTAGCAACTCAGGTTGTTTATAGAGGATTAATAAACATGTAATTTTTATACAATAATCGATAAAATTAAAAGTGACAAAAATATTGGAACACAACAATATTGCCTCGCTATAATAAACTATTGGTTAAATTTTTAGTCAATGTATAATGTTTGTAAACATAAATATAAAATTTATTATACAACTTATTCGTTATCCGAATATTTTTATGATATTAAATTTTATCATTATTTAACTTACTATGCAGAAAACTGTGTGCATTAAATAAATGAAATTTATATTTCTATTAATACTGATTAATATAAGTATTTCAATTTATTAAAAGATAATCGAATCAATAATGCTATTTTTAAACAAATGTATTCAACTGTATACTGAACAAGCTTATTAAAATTGATGAAATTTAAAAAAAAATGATATAAGCAAACGTGGCAAGTCGAAGAGATTTCTTTATAATAAGAAAATTGTACCAGATATTACCATTATCGAACAATCGATAATACGTAACAACAAACGATTAAGATAAACAAGCGGAAGATTCAAAGTTGTCGGGATACGTCGATGAATTTAATCAATTCGTTACAAACGAAGATCCTTTTTTATTAATGATCATTATTGTTATTACTATTACTATCACTACTACTATTCTACTATACTTACTATTATCTTACTACTACTTATACTGCTGTTGCTGCTACTACTACTATTATTACTATTACTATTACTACTTATACTACAGTTACTGGTGCTAGCTACTACTATTTTCTATTTTGTTTCGATCGTTGTTCCCTCTAAATCAGTGTTTCCCAATCTGTAAATTTTATTAAATTATTTACATAAAAAATTTCATAATGAAAATTTTCAACATTTATTTATTTTAATATATTTATGAAAATACAATAAATTATATTAGTAAATTAGACAGCTAATCATATGACATTTTAAATCATAATGGCGTAAGTCACATGTACAAAATATTTTGAAAAGCTGGCATTTTTCTGTACATTCTGTAAATTCTGTACATCTTTCATATTCCTCAATTCTGTTATTAGTTGTAATGTGTATCTAGTGATTTAAAAATAATTTATATTATAAAACATTCCATTTTCTCTTAGCTAGACTTACTTCACTATGATTTTCATCTCTCAATATATGAAATATTTTATATTTGTTATAACACAGATGTTTAATACCTCACTGATATTTTTACTGGACCTTGTGTGTGTGTGTGTATGTGTGCGCGTACGATTCATCTCTAAATATAAAATATTATATTTATATTATCTTGTTAATAATAATATATTTTCAATTTTTTTTTGTAATTAAGAAAAAAAATCGTAATTTATTTAATTATTATGAAAAGAGATCGTGTCTCAAAATCACTTTGGGAAACACTGCTCTAAATGATTCTTCGTTGAACGATGAATTTTATACTCGCCTCGAGTGGCGATATCAGCATATCGTGAAGAAAATGAATATTTTCGTAGGCAAATACGTCGATAAATATAAGGATAAATACAAATTTTTATTCGTTGAACGTTCAATCCAATGTTTGGTTGCTATACGCAATTTTCTCGCGTAAATTAACAAAAGGCACGACGATTGAAACGAAGAGAGTAGCGTAAACAGGTGATATTTAAGTATTTATACGATTGTATATACGGACATGATTTAATCTGTCGCTTATACCGAGATATTAAAGGTATTAAGATATTAAGGTAATCGAACACGAGGATCGTTCGTTCGATATCTCTCGTTAATTTGAACAATATCGAGGAGAAAAATGGAAAAGGATTATAAGGAACAGAAAGATCCTCGTGTACGCGATACATGATATCTTTAAATTTAATGAAGGATTTAGAACTTTTTCACAAGTTACGCTCGTAATGTATCGAAATAATAAATCCTGTTAAAGCTTCCTCCTAATTCCACCACGTTTCATTTCATCGAATGTTTCTTCTTTTTTTTTTTTTTTTAGAAATTACACAGCCCAGTCATCGTAAAATCAATAATATCAAAAATTTTTTTAAAAATTAGAAACAAAGAACACAAAATAATTAAATACATACATCTTTATATATTTATTTAAGATAAAGCTCAATTTTTCATAATAATTGGATAAATCGTTGGCATCAGTAATTTTTTTAAGATGGAAAATATTTATTAAAAATATCGTTTTTTTAAACAGCGTAAATATTAATTATATTCGTGCTAAAAAAAATGGTTAAATCAAAAACTAACAAAATAGAAAAGATTTTATTGCATTAAGGAAAAAAACGTTATAAATGCCAAAAATATTTTACATTATACTTTTGTATTATATAAATGTTTCCAGTGAATATGGCAAAAATCTTTTTTTTTTTATATTTCGATTACTATTTCTTTTGTTTTTTAACCAATTTTTCCAGAAAAGATAACAATATAGAAAAATAATTAATAATCATCCGTTCACAAATACAATGCAAAAATGATTAAGAAATATTTTTAAATTATTTAAGTAACTTTTAAATGAATTTCAATGGGCCATTTACTCTATTCTTCAAATAAAATAGATATAGATATCTATAAAAGATAACAAAATTTTTTTTTTTTACGAAAATTTCGCATTTTCTTGAGATTTTGCATTTTCTCTTTCTACAATAATTTCCTCAACGATTTCTGCTATATTCTTAATCGTAAATTTGGTAACATTGGTTAACAATTGTTTCATGAAATTGTGATTTAAAAACCGATGCGCCAAAACGACATTCTTCTCATGGTTAAGCCTCTCGTCTCTCAATTCTTCAAATACGCTAGCTAATTTTTCATGCATTGATGGATATTGGCCGATAATATCTGGCTGCAGCAATAAATACCATGGCAAAGCTGCAGCCAGTACCGTCTGAAACAATGGAAACGAATAAAATTAATATTTTTTATTAATTTTTATTAACTATTATTTTTTGAATAATCATATATTCAAAAAAAAAAATGAATAGAGGGCATTTCACCAATTTCTAAAAGTTTGATTATTATTCTGAACTACTTTTTCTTGTACATATAAGTGCAGAAGATCTCATCTTCTGGGATATTAATAAAAAAATATATTTTACATATTATATATGTATTTCTAATATTTAGAATAGGTTTGGATTAAATATATAATATTGAATTGTTTGAAATAAATTTAGATTAGGGCTAAGTTTGGAATATTGCAGAATTGGATTAGATTTAAGATAGATTTAAGTTAGTTAGCCTAAATTAGATTTAGATTAAGTTTGGAATAAATTTGGATTATATATGTATTATTTTTTTTTTTTTAATTCAATCTTTCAACTAGAAATAAAACCAACAGGTAAATAATACTAGAACATTTATCAGTAGTTGTAATCTACTCAAACTATATCAATATGTATTAATATTATGATTAAAATATGCCTAATTTTAAATAATGACAATACAATATAATTCTTAATCTGAATTGTAATTATCTTATTGTTATTTAAATCTAATTCAAACATCAAACACTAAATTGCATAATATCAAAATATATTTAACATTAAATATTTGATATTATATATAAAATATAAGTTAGATAGGACATTTACAACATTTGAGTTTTATTATATACAATTATATATAATTAGATATATACTATAGATATATACTATTCTAGGTCAATATAATATTTAATTATATTTAATTTTATATTTACATTATTATATTTAATTTTGGTTAGATCAAGCCAAGATCATTTAATTCAAATTAAATTTAAATTCATTTACTTGATAGCCAACTAGCTATTATAAAATAGCTAAATTAAGGGAAATAATAAATATTTAATTAAAATTTAATTTAATCTAATCAAACCTAAATTTATTTTGAATTTAACCTGAAAATAATAAATCTAATCTAGCATAATTTACCATAAATTTGATTTCAAACTTTGTTCAAATACTTTTAATACTTTTATCAAATTTTTTTAAGAGAAAAATTCATCTTTATAAAATATTTATGATAAAGTTATATTTTCCTAAATGTTTTTGTAATGAATATATAATATAGATATTTTAAAATTTAAAATCAATTTCACTGAAAAATAATATACATTAACTGCAAGTATTTGTTTATTTTACAATTTAAATATTAGTTAATTAATCAATTAAATTTAAATATATTATATTTCATGTATTTTAATATTGCTTTCATATAATTATAAAAATTTGATAATATACAATGAAATATAGAAAATATAATTAAAAATATTTTATCAGAAAATATATATACATATGTACAAATATTTTTTGTAGTATAATATTGTATACATTATTTATTTATATTGATATGTTGCAAATATATAAAATCGAGTGTAAAAGATAAATACGATATATTGATTAAAAAATATTTTTCATTAGTATTTTGACAAATCAAAATTATTGAAATTGAGATAATTATATTGATAAATAAGATATTAATACTAATCTTTATTTTCAACGTTGAATTCCAATTTATAATAACATTTTTTTTAGTTTTGATATATAATAACACTTTTTACTATTAATCATTAAAAATTGTTGAACTTCAAAATTGCATAATTTTATTTATATGTATTAAAATCTTTTATTTTTCGATTCTTTTTACCAATTTTATTTTTAATCAATATTCAAAGAATAAATCCTTTAAAAAAGTGTTCTAAAATTTTAAAAATTTATTGACATTTAATATTTAGAACTTAGAAATATCTTTTCTTTTTAATTTTTTCTTACATCATTGAAATATTATCTTCATGATAATTGAAAAAAATCATTATTTTTAACAAAATTACAATCATTCCAATAAACATTAACTTTTATTTGTTTATACCAACTTTTTTACTTATTTTAATTTTTAAAATCAATTCTTAAAATATATTTCATGCATGTATTAACAATCGCTATTATGTTATTATACGAAATATTAAACCGTGCATTATTTAAAAATCAAACGCGATAGAAACAAACAGATTGCACTTTTGAATTTGAATTCATTAAGATTATTAAAATTATATATCAAATCTTAAAAGTAACGAAAATTTTAATAAAGATCGGTGTTATCGTTTCTCGTATATGCAAATAGATTAGATTTCTTACGAGACAAAGGTCGAAAGAGATCCAATAAATGATCAGTTCCGAGAGTTCAGGCGGGGTCTCTATCTCCTCGTCCTCTATCACATCCTCAAATGCCTCTTCCTCAGGATCGACGGATTCATCGAAAAATTTGAATGATGAAGGACTTTCTTCTTCGCAATACAAATCTTTCTGTTCGATTATCTTTTCAATTTTATTTAGGATATAATTGATTAACAGCTTTGCCACCTGAAATAGATCAGCGAGAAAATTTTTATCGATTATCATTGAATTTTATTATTTATTCGTTTGATTATTTATTAGCAATGTATAATTGCTTGTATACAACTGAAATAAAAGGATAACAAAATTTAAAAAAAAAAATGACTATAAATGGAATTAAAAATTTGATTCGTAAAACTTCGATTTGAAAATTTGTTAATTTTCTTTTGTTTCTTCTTTTTTTTTTTCTAAAAAATATCTATCGAATTTCAGTAAATTTTTAAAATTCGTGAAACTTGGATTTGTAAATGCTATTAACAAGGATGATATTAAATATACAAAGACGAAATTTTATTTTATTCTTCATGATTTCTAATATTAATTGTATAATATTATATAATGTAATTTAATTTCTAGAAATTATTAAACAAAAATTTATCAAATTAATGAAAAAATGAAACAAAGAATGTTGCCAATGATCTCTATTTCCGTCACATTTCATCTAGCGTAAACTTTAACTACTTACAACTTAATAAATAATCCACCATACTCCAACTTTTGTGTTTATTTTAATCTCTAAAATCAATTCTTCAAAATATCTTTCATTATATATTAACATCTTATATAACAGTTATAAAGTTTATTCAATCGAATCGAGGATCTTTTTTAAAATTCTCGAAAATATTTCGTGACACATTGAGATTTCCGAAATTTCAAGATTTGCTAAATACAACTGTAAAAATATTTGCAAATAAAGAGTTTAACAATTTTAACGATTGAGGTTAATAATTATTGAACAATTTATTATTCAAAACAGTTATATAACAATAAATGTTATTCGAGCATTTTAATAAATAAAGTTATTAGTTGAAGTAATTTTATTGGAAATTTTAACTATATAATTTTCCCTCCTGTCAACTCTGATCTGAGATACTTTTGAAAATCTGAGCTGAACCGATCTGATCCGAATTCTCGAACAATTCTCGATCCGAATATTTTTGTAGAAAAAAGTTGGGTTGAAAAATTAATTGCTTAAAATAAAATTGTATATAATTTCTATAATTGTTCTTTATTATATTTATATTTCAAAAATCTAATTTATGCTGATAATCTAATTTCACTTTATAATTTAGTAATAGTTATAACTTTAAAATAAATTTTTAAATTTATTCTTATTAAAAAATCCTAATATTTGAAATTATTTGAACAGTAATTCTCATTGTTATTAATCGACGAAATTATAAATCGATCTTATGAATTTAATAATATTAAATTTGATAATATTCAACTTTAACTTTATTAAAAACCAACTTTTCATTTTTAACCCTTAACACCCACGAATTTCCCTATCGTGCACTTCTAGCAAAAATGTTTCTATCCTATTTCGAGATTTCGATTTCCCAAAAAATCGAACACCCACCTTGACAGCCTCTTCGACCTGAAGAAGAGGGATGCCGAGATCATGGGCCAATTGTTTCTGATATAAAAGCTCCTTCACGTATCTCTCTCCCTCTTCCATATCGGTGCACACAGGATTCCCTATGGCGAGAGCGAGCGCCATGGCGAACCCTTTCCGTGGATCCTCGTTCTTGCAAAAGGCCAACAGCAGCGCCGTGTAATTAATCAACTCGTAATCGACCATGTACATCTGACCGAGCAAATCCTTGGCCAGTAATCGCCTGAGCGCCTCCTCGGGGTCGAGACTCGATGTCTCGAGCGTGTGCGGCATGATGTACGCCCTCTGTATGCCCTTCGAGAGTATCGAAATTTTATCGACATCGAAGTGGTAATATTTCTCCTCGTACATGTCCACTTTCTCCTCCACGATCTCCTCGTGGAGACGGGTCAGGTTGATCAAGTTCTCCGTGCTCTCGAAAAACCAGAACGACGTCCTCTGGTACTGGGCCAACGTCACGACCTCTTTCAACTCGTAATCCTGAATCCGCAAACGATCCCTGGTGATCAAGATTTCCCGGCAAGTTGGATACGGGATATCCATCGCGTAAATAAGGAATTCCCGCCAATCGACGTAGTTCACGGATTTGAAGATCCTGTTGATCAAATTCGAGATGTCCTCTGGGCAAAGGTCGTACCACCTGCACGGGAGCATCATCGGCTCGCCCTCCTCGAGGCCGTGGCAAACCAGGTCTTGGAGAATGTAAACAAGGGTGCGCTCGCTCATGATCCCGATCGGCGCCACTTGCTTGAACATGTCCATCAGGTGGCTCAACTTGATTATTCGGAACCGCATGGACGGATACTCTTTGAGTCTTTTCGGCTTCTCGGACCTCATTTTCACCACGTACACGTTCGATTTGATGATGAACTTGTCCCCCTTCAACTCCATCTCCTTCTCCAGCATTTTACCCTCCTCGATCGCGAAACAGAACACGTTCACCATGTCGTTCACGCTCTTCATCTCCTGCCAATACCTGGACGAGCGTTTAATTTGAATTGAACAAATTGAATTTAGTTCAGAAAGGAACAAAAATCTACTTCTTCTCGAGAACATTCGTTGGAATGAAAATTGAGAAAAAGAAAAGAAGTGAAACAGACCTGTCTACGATAGCATCGTAAATGTCATGAAACAATCTCTGCATCGTGTCAACGAGAAAATCGAAATCCAGTCGTGCCACGTTCACTATGGACTCGAGTTTCTGCCGAACTCTTAAGATCTCGTAATTGCTCACGTAACGCCATTCCAAGAACAGATCCTGCACCCTCGACGCCATTTTCTCTATATTGTTTATCGACTCTATGGAATCGATGAACGTGAAGTCTTTCCCCTTGAACGTCACTTGTTCCCTCTTAATCGTCTCCTGGATCACCGTGAACAACGTGTCAAGGATCTCCCTCACGTAAACGACATTCTTCATGATGCCCTTAAACATGCAAGTGTCCTCGATGTTCACGATCATTTTGCTCCTTTCAAGCAACACCTGGTTGATCTCCTTCTGGATGTCGAGCCGGCAGATGGCAATTGGAGAAGAGCTCTGGGCCTGCGATTCAACCTTGAATTTCGATCGATCCTTTTTCCTTTGATCGGTCAACTTCTCCTCGTAGATCGGCGATTCCTCTTCCTCCTCATCGTTGTCCTCGGACTCCATCGTCTCCACGTCGATCTTGTTCAGGACGACCTTCGAGACGCCCAGCTCTCGCAACGGTTTCTTCAACATACCCATGTAGTAATCTTGCAGCAGGTGTTGGGTGTCGATGCACCGGTCTATCTCGGCTTGAATGAGACCCACGAAAATGTCGTAGAGGATCACCGCCTCTTGTATAGCCCACTCGAAGCTCACGTATCGCTTCCGTTCCTCTTCGGCCACGCGTCTTCTATCATCGCAAATCTCCCACAGCTCGGCCTGGAAGCGGAATTAGAATCGAAACAATAAGAATTTTATGCGGGTCACAAGTTTTCTTATATCGGTTCAAAATTGGTTTAGTGACATGACTTGACGTTAAATCACGCGATGTGATTCGAATTAAATTGGAAATTGAGGAGAATTGAGTCACTGATAGAGAGGATTTATTAATAAATGTGTTTAGCGCTAAGATCGTTTCCAATTAATATCGTATAAAGCTTATAAGATTCAATTTTAAAGGCTTTGAAAGATTAAAAGCAAGTAGAATTATTAAATTTTGTACAAAGCGTTAACTTTAACACTAAATCTGAATCGACATATTCAAAATTAGAAGATGCCATGTAATTTTGAATATTTTTATCTCTTTAAAATTTTAATCTTTTAATCATATTAATTGTATTTCTTCACTCAATGTTTCTCGATCGATTCCTATCAAATCAGACAGTATATGTATTTCTTGTCAAAAAATCAATAATATATGAATCATAATATATCTAAAAGAAATAGGCATTTAATTTATGCTCAAATATAATAGCAACGAGTTTAATATTAAAGTTAATTGTTGATTAAATTTCGAATATTCGAAGAGTCGATTTTCGTGGACGCATCAAACGTATAATCCGAACAACTCTACCTGGAAATCGGCCACGCGACGATGCAGCTCGCATTTCACGTCCACCTCTTTCCGCGCATCCATATCGATCGAGTTGAAAGCTTGCTGAAACTCGTATATCATGTCCTGCTTATGATCCGGTCGTTTTATAAATTGCATCGCGTTCTTATGCAGAAAACCCGTGTACGGAACAATGCTCGACGAGTGGACGCTCTTGAGATACAGTAACTCCTTCACTTCCTCTATATAAATGTCCTCCAAGATCTCCCACAGTTTGGCCATGTTCTGTAACAACATCGAGGAAGGGGAAAGTTGATCCATTGCCAGTTCAGTTCGCCAGGTTTCGATGGCTTCAAGTCGAATTCCAGCTGAAAATCTTCAGATATGACGTCGTGCTTCATCTCCTCCTCCTCCTCCTCGTCCATGTCTTTGACGAGCTCGAGCTCCGCGAACTCTTCGTCGGTCACGAGGCGTCGAATTACGGCATCCTTCGTGATCGGGAGACGATGTGGATCCATTTCCAACATCTCCAAAATGTCCCCGAATAATTCTCTGGACATCTTTTTCGGATAGCCTAGCACGAGCCTGGCTAATTTCTTCAAAGTGGGCAGATCGAAACTCGAGTAATGGAAAACGTACGCGATCTTGTGAAACGCGTAAAAACCGTCGATAGATGGCGTTATTTTGCTTATCTTCTCGTACGTTCGATCACCTTTCTCGAAGTCCCTCGGCTGTTGCTTCATTCGGACGAAAAGCGACACGAACGTGTTATTATTTTTGTAATCATAAATTTGTTCCAAAATCGAATTGGGCATTATTTTCGAAGTTCTGCAAAATCGAGAACGAGAAAAGTGTCAGTTACAGGATTCAGTGATATTCAGCGAGAAAGATCAATTTTTACAGATCGCTATTTTATCGAACGCGTGTTGGAGGATAAATAAATAGGAATAAAATATGGTTTCTTTGCGCTATATTTTTTTTAGTTTTATTTGGTGAATAAAAATTGTCCTCGATAATGATATTTTTGAGATACGGTAAGTTTGAAAATTATTACTTTTATTGATTTTATGAGCTTGTTTAAAATATATTTTTTCATCGACAAATAATTCTTATTATATCATGAAAGAATAATTTATTAAAAATAGATGTTAATGAGTTTAAAATGTGTTGTTAAAGATTTTCTTTTATAAGATATTCTTTTAACAATTTTATATATGACCAATGTTCGATTTTCGAATTATACATCAATAAATTTTTAATATATATTAATATTATTAGAAACAAACGAGATATTACATTGGTTATATAACTGATATAATATTTCTTCTTTATCATTTGGAATATAATATCAGATGCATATGAATAAGCAGAATTCAATGATACAGTGCCAATAATTTTTTTGCAAATTCATCCTACCGTTATTAATAGATAAAATAATAATATTTCAAGTAACATGATATTAGAATTGTTAGAGTATTAAATTTCATGTCAATATCACAAGATAAGTTTTATCGAGTATTTTGACAATCGAGTATCAGTAAATTTTTCGAATGAAATGGAATCGTTTCGTTTATTATTAACCTTTGCAGCGCGTATGGATCAGATTTGTCCTCGAAAATGATTCTCGGTTTTATTATCTCGATGTCTTCAACGTTAATGTCCTTGATTTCGAGCTCTTTCGGGTCGGGAGGTGGGCTCATACCCATCGTCGTCTCCAACCACGACATTTGATCATACGAAGTTGGATAATCAACGAAAACCCAGCCTTTCGCATCCATCTTACTCTTTAAATACTCGATTATGATTTTGGTCCCAAGATCGTTCGTGATAGGTTCGCCCAACGTTAGAAACTCGTAGGTCCACTTACCTGCACACATATCAGAATTGGGCAGTTTTCGTGTAAGAAATATAAATAACAAGTAGGAAGAGTTTAAAATGTTCAATTATTCCGAATAATTTCAATAAAAGTTAATATAAATATACTCGATAACATAAAAATCATCATATTTTAAAATGAGCTAAATTGAATAATTCGTTTGTTTCTTTGTAATAGAAAGAAAAGAACGAACTTTGATTTAAATCTAGACATAAGCAAAAGAGCTTTATTTTTCAGAGATAGAAATATCAAGTATCTAGAATAAAAGATAAAAAAAAAGAATATTAGAATTGCATATACTGTTAGTCGAATAATATTATTTAATCTTCTAGGTCTCGATGTTATCAAATGTATCAAATTTGTGAATCAATATATAATACTTGTTATTTAAGCATAATTTCAAAATATTTTTCCTTTTTTTCTCTCGCTGCTTATATCGTCGACAACTCAGTCAGAAGTAGTCTATTCGATACTTTTAATAACGCGACAATGTCGAATTCCAAGGAAGAAAAGAGAAACGAAAGAAAAAAGGGGAGGGGGAAGACGTACCTATATGCGCAGTATCCGTCAATATAGGATCTATATCGTCGTATGGTATATTCCTCGGTGTTTGCGTCTGCTTGTGTATAGAAGAATCCATTTCTTCCTCGTGAATATTGATCGGAAATGATTTGTTCTCCTTCACTTGTTTGTTTGTGGCTTTTTTCAAATTCGGATTTGGTTCAGGCGTGGTTGTTGACACTTCGTCGGCCCATCTCGAACGTTTAACGTGTTTCATCGTCAGGCAGTGGTATTCCGTTTGCACATCGATCAGTTGCGTGGTTGCCAAGATTATATTCAAATCAATGTACTTGAAGTCGGCCATTTCTTTCTTGTACTGTTGCAGACAATGATTGATCGCGTCCTCCATCCGCACCAAGTGAAAATTGGATTGTTCGAGCAACATCGAAAGGGTCTCGTAAGCCTTCGCATCATCGATCCCGAGAATGATCGAGATGTTCTTCATTTTGATTTTCAACCGTTTGGAAGGATCCGCGGGTCGAGCGTAAAGACCATCGAGGAGTCGATGCACGATGTATCCGAGCACCAAGCGGCCAAGCTTCATAACCTCGCGCGTATCTTCATCGAGCTCCGTCAAAAGAAAATTCCAGGGCTCGTTTAATTCCATATAGTCGTCGAAGAGGGTGTCTTGCAGTATTTCAATCTTGGGTTCGTGTTTATTTTAGGGAGATATTAATTTTTGTTTACCTATTTTCTTTTTTCATCTATCGATAGCTTTTGACGGAGAAGAATCCAAACTTAGAGTTTTAACTTATATATTTCCTATCCGAGGGGTAAGTAATTAATAAAAATAAAATGACTTTTGAATATTGTAAAGTGAATAGCAAATTGACTTTGTCGTATTTGAGGTGATGTTGATGATGAAAATGTGATGCTTCGTTTCTATATTTTATATTTGTTCGTAGGGAGATTAAATTTTTACAAAATATTAATACAAATGTTAATATTTTTACAATTATTTCGAGAAAATTATGTGCATATAATAAAAAGAGAATTGTCTCACTTCATTAGAAAATAATAGAAAAATAGAAATCTGCATTACCTACAATTAATGAATCGGTATGAAATATTTATTTCTGTAGGGTATTCTGTCATCAGCTAATACACGTTGCAGCAAAAAAGTAAGAAAATTATTGAAAACATAAAATAACTATGCATAAGAGAGTAAATTTTTTACTCTTTTTATAACTCTCCTTTGCTGTAATCTCTAAAAAATACATACAATGTCTATATCAGTTATTTAATTAAAATATTAAAAATTTTTTGATTGATTTCTGTGCCTTGTCATTTTAAATATTGATTATAAAGTAATTCTTTTTTTATCTAAACACTTTGTTAGTGTCGTGTTTGTAAATGTATTATTATATATATAACATGAAAGATAATTAAATATAGAAATTCTTTTTTGAGTTAAAATCTGTTTGTTATCATTACTGTGTTATATACATATATAATAATAAATTTTTAAAATTAAAAACTGCTATTTTTCGATTCTGTTGATTAATTTCAAAATCTATCGATTAATAAGAAAAAAAAAATAGATAAATGAAAATAATCTTCTAATATAAAAATAATTTATTTCAACCTAACCTTTACATGTTTGCTCCAGTCGTCCGCTTTGATGAATGTTTCCAATTCATGTTTCGGGGTGTCTAGATCGAAAGGTACCTTTTTCTCGACGATCGGCTCAGATTTGAGAAACAGGCGCCTCCACTCGCTGATAAGCGTGAGCGGTATGTGGCCATCGTTCAATTGCCGATGTTCGCATATGTTGAACGCGATGGTCAGCAAATCATCGATCACTTTTTGACAAATTGACCAATGTTTCTTCCGTATTTTTTCTATCTTCATTACGTGTAATCTGTGACGTAACTCGCACATTCTTTGACACTCGATTTTCATATCTTTCTCGTCCGCTGTGACCAGATCCTGAGAACGATAGTATTTCGCGCGATCCTCCATCTCATTCGCCTGCAAAATGATATCCTCCACGACCCTTTGATTCTCGGCCATGATGTTCTTTTGCTCGTGTATCTCGCACAGTTTCGTCATGATCTGCTTCTCGTACCTACGGAATTTGGAACTCTTTGGAACCGTTTTGAATTTTTAAAATTGTGGAAAATTCGATTCTTTTTGAAACTTTTGATGGTGATTTTAATTATAATTGTATCGAGAGTCTTGAAAGTTTGTTATTTGAAAATGTTGAGAGATTCTTTATGAAGATAAGATGTCATTCGATATCTTACAAGCATTAGTAATTATTTAATGTAGAGGAGAAACTTCGATGACTTTGAATCGACATATATCAAAAACAGTCTCTTGAGTAAACTTGAGTAAAGAGATTTTAATTGTTATTGTTTAAAAAATTATTGATTATTAAGAATGGAACATGTTATTAATGGTGTTATTATATAATTATTATATTATATAACACGAACTTAAATTGCTTATATAACTTAATAAATTTCAATCGAAATTTTTGGCCTCGAAAATGCTATGAATAGTGACATTACTAAATAAATAAATAGTAAGATCTTATTCGTGATTAAAAATTTCTTTTTTATTACATCCTTGTTCAATTTGATTTCAATTATTTGTGATTCAAATTGACAATGACTTAATGTTTCGTACTTATTATTAAACAAAGAATTGTTATATTCCGTCTACTAAAGTGGTAATTTCCCCAAAATGACAATTTTCCGCAAAAGAAGAATAATGTGATGCCACATTATCACATTAAGTATATTACGTGACCAAGTTTTCGCCAAGCATGGTGTCACGTTACGTGTCTTCGTAATGTAGCAAGAGTAATGAGGATAATGTAACGTCATCTAGCCATATTTTGAATTATATCAATGTAATTCATTTTTTATCAGACTTTTATTATGTCTTCGTCGATTTTTCAAAAATTCTATTGAATTTTTATTGTATATTAATATTTATAAACATATCCGAATTTCGTTTTCACGCAAGATTATTGGATAAATAATGATATTTGACTTCAATCGATGATAAAGAAATTCAATTGAATCGGAAATATCGATATCCATTTTGATATAAAAAGAATTGTTTGTATATTTCAATCAATTTAGATACTTAAAAGTTTAATTTGCGAAGAATAAGAGGCACTTGCAAGATCTTCAATTAATTATTAATTATAATATTTGGTTTTTCCTTTCTAATTCTTCCCGAATCAAATGTAGCATTATGTGTAAAATTCTAAACTCCCATTATCCATATATCTGGTCCACTCTATATATCCTGATGGTGTACAAAATGCTAATGAGAATTGCGATGGTTCTTGAAGCCATCTAGTGGCGGTAATTGATACTACGAATCAATTCATTGACCGATCGCGATAACTTTTAAATATTTTTATATTATATCCACAGAGCTTAACGTCATTTTAGGAGTAATAAAATCGTTATTTATTATTTAATTTTAAATATAATCATTATGTTATATACAGACTGGAAAAATATATCTGTCTATTTTGAATATCTTTTGTATTTTTAGAAAACTTTTTATACAAAAATTGCACAGTGCAAAAAGACTTATAGTATGGCAATAATAACTTTTTTTGGATTGAAGAATTTTCAAAGATTTCAAATTTATTTGTATTTGTTTTAAATTGAAATTAAATTGAAATCTTGATTTTTTATGATGAATAATGTAAAAAATTAAATAATCCCTATTGAATATGATTATTTAATAATAATGAAAGAATAATTTGTTATAATTTAATATAAAGTTTATTCATTAGTCTAAAAGTTCTCTACATTTTTAATAATAAAAAAATAGCATGTAATTTAGAAAAAATAAAAATGAGTTTGAAAATCTAAAAACTCTACACTAACGAAAAAATTATTATTGCTACATTATACGTAATTTTTTCATAAATTTTATCCAAATCATTAAAAATTCTTTTTTATAATATTAACATTCTTGTCTATATTATTTTTTTTTTTTTCTCTAATAAGTTACAATCAATTCAAATATATTTATATAAGTAATTTCTAAAAATATTAAACACTAATCATATATTTTGGAGGAAAAATTTAAAATTTTTCAAGAAATGAAATTAATTAATCACGCTTTTTGAAATGATTCAAACATTCATAATGTTAATTGTGATTTATATTTATATTTATAAATTATTAAATTATACCAACTCTAACTTTCTTTCTAGATTTCTTTTAAGTTTTCATATCAATAATATTCGTCAAACAAAAATTGATAAAAATACTCAAGATATTGAATTTTCATAACGAATCTCTCAATATTTTTAAATGTATCAAGACTCGTAATAACTCATTATTAAAAATCGAAACAAAAATTTTTGCCGAGGAAAAAGTTGCTTGAAACAGCTCCAGTTAAACTGTTTTCACATTTTTTTTTAGACATCTTATAGATACAGAATACAGATTTAAACCAATTTGAGGTGTTTCGGATTCCATTATTATTCGTATATACCTTGATTGATCCAACACTCGTTTCGCCAGTTCCTCGTCGACAGTTCTGTCTTGCTTCTCCGCCATTCTTTCCCACAATTCCGAGAGTATAGATTTCTGCATCTTCGATTTGAGAGCGGATGAAATCTCCGCTCGTTTCTTGCGATTCTTCAACCATTCGATATACGATTTCGCCATATCAGGATCATCCCCGATCGGTTTTAAATCTTCCTCAGACTCTTCCTCTTTCTCAGTCTTTTCCAACTCCTTTGAAACTGAATGCTTCGTAGCGAAATCATCCAATTCCTTGCTCACCTTCTTTTGATAATCCTCTTTTGTTGTCTAAGAGATAAGACGACAAATGACAATTCTTTTATCCAACATTGTTATTTTTGATTTTTTTAATGTAGAATCGTAAAATTTCAGTAATTAGTTTATGTGTGAAGTATGAAATGGGAAAAAATAAGAATTGCTGCATTAAGTTATAAGAATAATATAATAAAAAATTATAATTTAATAAGTATGGTTTGTTTTTTAAAAATTTAAATTTTTTAAAAAATTTAACTTTAACTAAAAAATTAAATATCTAATATTAATTGAAAATATTTTAAAATAATTTAATGTTCCAATTTTATTTTATTTCCAAATATTATTAACCAAAATATATTTAACATTATTTATCCATATAACGTGTAAAACGAGAGGGGTAAGATGTTGAACATATTTCACAAAATTACAATTAAAATTAAAACTATTGCTAATTTAATCATTAACAAAAATTCTCGCAAAATTATTCACTCACGATATAATTAATCGAAAAATAAAAATTACGCGCCGTTGAAAGAAATATTTAAAATGTAACAGCTTAACAAAATATCTTTTATTTTTAAAACAATTGTATACAATTGTAACGTAAAAATAATATTTGTTGTATAAGAAAAACAAAAAAAAACACTTATTTTCACTTTGTATCCTCATCTTACCCCGACACCTTCCTCCTTCCTCCACATAGAGCAAAAAAAAAACTCGCGTAAGCATGAGTACCTGGACGCGAGACTCCTGTCACGCGAATCTTTCTAGCTAGGAGCTGGTAGATACCTCGTAACACGGCTTGACATCAGTTACGCATTTCGTCTCCACTTTTTCAATGGTTTTTTTTTTTTGATATACGATCGAAGCATCTTTGGAACTTTTTGCTGATGCCATTGGATCACGTCCTGCCCTTTCACCAGCTTCTTCGACAATTTATTCTCCGACGGATGGTAAGGCGGCGGATCCTCGCAGACTCTGACCACATCGAACTTCTTCGATGTGGGCACGAATTTCTCCCTCTCTTTCTGAAGCGTGATAAAATGCAATCTCTCCTTGCTCTCGAGGCAAAGGTACACCTTGTAGAACAGGCGGAGAGACGAGGTCCCTTTGCCGCACGAGATCTCGTCGATCAAGTCCTCGTCCATCTTGATAGCAATGAACCGCAGCCAAAAGCTGAGATGTCTCAAATTGACTCGGCACAGGGCGGGATCTTGGGTCACGATGATTATGTCCAATTGATCTTGGGTTATTATGTCGTAGCTGTGCAAAATTTGAGCCAAAAGGGAGCCGTCTCTGGTGTAATAACCGAACACCTCAGGGCGTAGGTCTATCAAGATTCCTAGTCTCGCTTGTATCCAATTTCGCAGAACATCGCCCATCCTTCTTTATTTACTGCCTCGACTTCTATCCCGGATGATAATTGGAAATATCGAGTTTCTCATTTTCGTTCGAACTTTCTTTCGCGATTATTTTATTATACTGGTCGAAGTTGGTCACTTATTATCACGCGATCGATCGATTAATCGATATCGGCTGGTCACGATCGAGTTTTTAATTCCTTTCAATTTATTTGCTTGTGCTATATAATCGATAACAGACGATACGTATCAGAAAAATGGAAAAAATGATATTATTATTTTATATGGTAAAATTAATTTTTTAAATACTACTGTGCTATAATAAGAGCTGTAAAATTTTAATTTTATTATATTATCAATTGTGATACTTTTTTCCTTCGTTTTATATTACAAATGATAATTTTCCTTATTCTAAATTTAATTATAATTTCTTCTCGAATTTAAATTTTTCATATAATAAGAAACATAATTCGTTGAAAACAAATTGTTGTAAAAATTATCCAAATTACTGAATAGAAACTTATAAATAATCAATAAAAATAATCATTTCTAAGTAAAAAAAAAAAAACTTTTTGATCAAATTCAAATTTTAAAAAATTTGAACATTATTAAAAGATAATCTTTGTTCGCTAGAAATATTTTTCTTACCTTTTTTCAACAAAGTAAAAATAGATTAAATAGATTTAATTTTTAAAATATCTTGAATTTACATTTTAAGAATAAATTTTGATCTTTCATAACTCAGATTCGCAATTACTAACACTATTCATTTCTTTAACTTGTGAAAAATTAAACTTTTATTTAAAAATTTATTTTTTCCTTGTCTTATAAACCAATATATAATATAAATAAAAAATTTCTACAATCACGACATCCTCAGAGGCTATTTACAAATTATCATCTTTCATCTACGTTTCGGAAATTTTTATTAAACACGAAACACTTTGAGTTTCGTAAGATTTCGAGGTTATCACATCCCCGATCGAAAATTAATCGACGAGAATATGAGTGAATATTTAAAAACTCGTGCATATAAAAAGTGTGTATTCTTTATTATTTCCCTTTATACTCCACTGCACATACACGAAGTTAGTGTTACAGGCCTATAGGTACAGACGGGTAAGAAAATCTTGGTTTCCTCAGCTTTTCTTTTATTCATTTTTTTTTTTTTTTCGTTTTTCCCCTTTCTCTTTTTTCTTTTAAACCAACAGCATCGCTTGAGCATTGGTTCGGTTCTGCCAATAAATAACGACAGGATGATCGTGTGATTTACGTCTAGAAACGTGGCATTCGAAATTCGGAGGAGGGAGGGGAGGAAGTCCCGAGTGACGATCCCCTTTCTCTCGACGGTTCGATAAACGCGTTAAATAAAAACGTGACCAATCACAGGAAAAAAAAAAACAAAACAAAACAAAGATCGCCAAGATTGCCTTCAATTGCGCCATTCGTCATTCGCGGGAATAAAAAGGGAGGGGATCCATCCTTGATGCATAGAAAAAAAAAAAGAAACAAATATATATCGGCAAAAAAGAGTCGCCTCTCGGTCGTCGATCGGTCCGCAACAAAGTTATTGCATACCCGATGCGATTCGTCTCCCAGGACGCGTACGAGCGCGATTCTATCTCTCTCTCTCTC